GGTTAAAAAGCATAAGAAAATTAATGAAGGCTTTTCAGAGAGATTTAGACAAAACCAAAGAGTATTTTCAATATCTAAGGAGAATGAGTGTACAATTTTCAGATACTATTCATCTGTAGACATTTTTATACCTTTTTTAAAGACTCATCATGCCAAGATATGCCTGTGAAATGGTGGGATTGTTGGGATTTTTTTTAAGGTTCAGCTAGAGAAACTGGAGCAAATTATGTGTCACTGTTGAGTCATTGTTAACTGGTTTTCTGTGCATTCACACAAAAGATCCAAACTAGTCCAACTAGTCTAGTGTTACATTATATTTACTGTAATGAACCGCTGATCTGTACCATAAGTCATCCTTGCGGGGGTTGTCGGACTCGGAACTGTATGCGCAGTCGCACTAAGGACAGATGTGCTCAGAGGCATGCCCCGTAACGTGTATAGAGCAGTCTGTCGCGGCAGGAATAAGTTGTACAAAGTCCATGTAAGTTACGATAATACTTTGATAAGTATGATAAGTGTGTTTCTAATGTAAGGTATGTTGCTGTGTTTGTATTGTGAGCTATCTGAAAACGTTTTTATTCTGTATTTACGTTACTTACATCCATGTGCTATTTTTTAGCTAGACATGTGTGTCATGCAAGCTAGCAGTGTCATGGTCCTGGGCCATGTGGGCCCAGTATTCTTAGTTTTCATGCATTTTTGTATTTTGTTCCTTATTTAGGCCATGTTTTCTGAGTTGCCCTGTTGTGTTGTTCCCTAAGTGTTTTCCCTTCATGGCTCTTCCCCCCTGTGTGCCCTCTATGTATTGATGAGCCCTCGTCTCCCCTTGTGGTTGTTTCATGTTTCCCCAGCCCGTTATGTCGGTGTTTTCCCCGTGCTCTCTCTCCTCCTGTCGGAACCTCTGCCTCTACATGTCATGTTCAGTTCACCCCGCCCTGTCTCGTTATGGTTATCTGTGTCACCTGTGTTCCCCGTGTGTTCCCACTTTCCTCGTTAACCCTCTGTGTATTTCTGTCTGCGTCTTCCTCTGTTCGGCGTTGCGTTCTCCCTCATGTTGTGTGGATCTCCCTGTGTCTCTCCGCGTATGTTAGTTTACTTTTCCCAGTTTAGTTTTGTATTTCCTATGTTCTGCCATTCCAGCATTAAAGCTGTGATTTTGAGTTCATCCCCGTGTCTGTGAGTTTTGCTATTGGGTCCTTCTCCTGCCTGCCACACAACGTATCATGACAGCAGCACCCCATGAGAAACGGGCCGAAGTGTTTAAGTGTTCACCGGAGTTTTGCACCCTTGGCAAGCGGACTGAGGTATGTGATGAGAGATGATCTGTTGTTATATTTTATTTAACTGAACTGTGTAATCCCTTGATGCTGTTTGAAGTAACCCCTTTTGTTTTATTTAATCTGTGACTGTATATCTCAGAATTACTTGTTTGAACTTGCCTGAGTTAACTTAAGCTCATTGTTGTTATTGCTCATTGTTATAGTTTAAAAGGTACTGTACGGGTATCAATTTTTTCTTATTTTATAGTTTTCACGGTGCTCAACGTCCAGAGAATGAGCCATGTGTGGTGAGGAAATAAATGGCTGCACCCGTTAGAGACTCTTCTGTCGTTCTTGATGCCAAGGGCTGCTACAGTGAAAACTCATCGCTGCCTTGCAGCCATCTACACTCATCTTGTTCTTTCGTCGAACTGTGAGTAAAGGAGTGTATCGCATCATCCAGAGACTGCTGGATCAATAAAGGAGTCAAAATAAGGACATTATAAATACAATGTCATGCACACCTTCATCTTGTAAGCTGTGTGAGCAAATGATCTTCAACATGGCAGTCTAAAGTAATGCAAGAAAGACAGACCTCTTCTGTATTTAACACAGTAGCATGTAAAGTTGTGATGCTGAATATCCCACATTTCTTGCATCAGAATGTCTAAGACTGAATCTGGGCTTATGCTATCAGTTGTACTTCTGCAAAAACTTAAGTGGCAAATTGTCTGATTTGAGGGCATCATCAGTATTATTTGGGTTTTGTTGCCAGTCTGTGAGGTTAAAGGTGCAAATATCTAAGTTGAGTGTTAATAAGTTTTGAAACCACCACTCAACCCATTTGAGTTCAGATATATACACTTAAAAGGGCAGGTGCAACAAGCCAAAAATAAAATTAATAATAATGTTGTCCCCTGTTGAAGAAATAGACAAATCTACAGAGGCACAAGAGGCCAGGTCCAGCTCCAGAGAGCGAAGACTAACAGAAAAGGGGCAGGAGATGCATGAACAGGAAGCCAAGAAAAATGAAAGGTCATTTAGCAAGGCATATGAGTCCTGGAAGGAGTTAGCAAGAGGAGTTAGAACAAAGCTGAAAGGTTTCTGCTCAAACGAAGACCTTGTTAGAATACAAACGGACATTAAGACTAAAGAAGCATTAATGCATGAACTGTATGAGCCTATCCGACGTAATCATACTTCTACTCCAGATGTTGTCAAGAAAATGGATGCGTGTGTTGCCCTAACAACAGAAATTTGTGATCTCATTAGTAAACGACTAGAAGATATAGATAAGACTTTTAATGACAGGCTCGAGAAGGAGCGTGTAAGGATGATATTAAGTAAGGAGGAGTATGGATCTGTTTTTGGGAAAACTGAAACAGAAACAGTTATTTCAGAGCATTCAAAGGGCTCAGATTCATACTCTGGAGCCACCTCTACGACTTCTAGCAAACGTGTGGATGCCGAAGCTGACCTTGCAGCTAAACTAGAACAGGCGAAGGCAATGCAACGAATACATGAACAGCAAGCCAAGTTGAGTAGCTTAGAGCATGAGTGGAAAATCAAGGAAGCACAAATGATTGCAGAAATGACAGCAAAGCTAGAGGAAGAGAGAACTAAACTGCAACAGCTACAGGCAGAAAATGAGGTAAAAGTAGCAGCAGCCAGAGTGAGAGCTTACAACAACTACGATGGATTGGAAAGCCTTAAGTATGAAGCAGATGACAAATTACAACTTGATAGCCAAATCATTGAATCTCAGAATCCATTGAATCCACAGGCTGAATCATTTCGACCTCAGTGTGCACCACCTGAGATTTTGCAAAATCAACAGGAGGTCAGCTTAACACAGGAGCTTGCAAGCTTGTTCGTCTCCAACCGTCTGCCTGCACCTGAACCCACAGTGTTCACTGGTAACCCTTTAAAGTTTATAGACTGGAAGATATCCTTTATGGCATTGATTGGCCACAAACCCCTCCCTGCAGGTGAAAAAATGTTGTACTTGAAAAGTTATCTTGCTGGTGAGGCACGGAAGGCAGTCGAAGGATTCTTCTATCGAAACTCAGAAGATGCATATCAGGGTGCCTGGGAGATTCTTCAGGAGAGGTATGGAAGTTCATTTGTCGTCCAAAAGGCTTTCAGGGATAAACTGATGAAATGGCCAAAAATAGCTCCCAATGACCCAGTAGCCCTCAGAGTTTTCAGATTTCCTTCAAAGTTGTGCCGAGGCCATCCCTCATGTTAAAGGGCTGGCAATTCTAAATGATGGTGAAGAAAATCATAAACTTCTCAAAAAACTGCCCGAATGGCTGGTACGCAGATGGGGTCGCGTTGTTGTGGATGAACTAGACAGATGTCAAGAGTATCCACCATTTGCTCATTTCACCAGATTTCTACAAAGGGAAGCTAGAATAGCCTGCAACCCCATTGCTTCTCCCTTTTTATTAACCACTAAAGTAACAGATGAAAGGCTTCCTAAGAGAACCAAGGCACTCAGCACCAATGCTCAAGCTAAGCACTCTGCAGGTAAACCAGGGACCTTAATTTCAAAGCCAAGACCACCATGCTTCGTCTGCAACGATGAAACGCACGGTGTCGCCAAGTGCCCAACCTTTGCCACAAGGCTTCCTGATGAAAAGAGAGCTTTCATTCGTGAAAACCGTCTTTGCTTCGGCTGTTTAAGAAAGGGTCACACTAGTAAAGAATGCAAAAGAAGGCACACATGCACTATATGTGGTCGAAATCATCCAACTTGCTTGCACATAGAGAGAATTGAGGGAGCCAGTGAAATGTTAAACAGTGATTCACCATCTGCAGGAAATGAGACAAAGGAAGTCCGCAATGTCATGTCACACACATTGACAAGATACTCCTCAGCTACGTCTAGCATTGTTCCAGTTTTTGTGTCATTGGCAGAAGACCCCCACAGTGAGATTCTCACATATGCTCTGCTCGACACACAGAGCGATTCAACTTTCATCTTGGGAGATCTGGTCTCTGCACTAAATGTGAAGACTCAGCCAGTGCAATTAAGGCTCAGTACAATGACAGCAGTAGACACAGTCATAGCTAGCAAAGTGGATTGCAAGTTCGTGGGCTCCATAGTGAGTCGCATGATTCAATCAATCAATCAATCTTTATTTATAAAGCACTTTTCATACAAAAAATGTAGCACAAAGTGCTTTACATAGTTAAAAGCAGCCCACCCCACCCTCCAACTCACTCCCCACACTCTCATTAACATAAATGATGTGAATACACACATCTCCCCCCCCCCCCCCCCCCCCGCCAGGCATACACAAGGGAGCTACGCCAGGCATACACAAGGGATTTCATCCCAGTCGATAAGTCTCACATTCCTACAAAGGACACCGCACTTCAGTGGCCGCATCTGAGGCAACTGGCAAACAAGCTGCAGCCACTTCAAGACTGTGAAGTGGGATTGCTGATTGGCTATGATTGCCCATCAGCACTGGCCCCTCTAGAAGTCATTGTAGGGTCAGAAAACCATCCATTTGCTCAAAGAACCGTGCTTGGCTGGAGCATCATAGAATCAGCAAATCCATATCTTGATAGAAAGGAACATCAAAGCTTTGTACACAGAGTGGCAGTAAAGGAAATGCCATTGCCTCCGGTCAATGATGTGTTAAAGGTCCTAGAAATGGATTTCAGCAAAAGAAACTATCAAGATAAATATGTTTCTCAAGATGATGTTCATTTTGTAAAACTCCTCGGCAGCACAATCAGGAAAAGGAAGGATGGACACTATGAGATGCCACTTCCTTTCAAGGGCAGCTCTCCACCCATGCTGCCAAACAACAAGCGACTGGCTGAAGCTCGTTTGCAACACCTCAAGAGGAAGTTAAGGTCCAATAGGCAGTACCATGACCATTACACAGCATTCATGGAGGAAACCATCAGCAAAGATGTTGCAGAACCAGCCCCCCCAGCACATGAGGGAGAGACAATTTGGTACATCCCACATCATGGGGTGAACCATCCTAGGAAACCAGATAAACTTAGGGTGGTCTTCGACTGTTCAGCCAAGTTTCTGGGCATCTCTCTGAATGACACCTTATTGACTGGCCCTGATCTGATAAACTCTCTAGTAGGAGTTCTCTGCCGCTTTAGGAGGGAAGCAGTAGCCATCACCTGCGACATTTAAAAAATGTTCCATCAGTTCTATGTTCCACCCAACATGCGGAACTACCTGAGGTTCCTATGGTGGAAGGGCGGTCAGCTGGAAACAGAACCCCAAGAGTATAGAATGGCGATGCACCTTTTCGGTGCTGGTTCCTCTCCAGGGTGTGCCAATTTCGGCCTTAAATATCTTGCACAGCAATGCGAAGCCGATTATCCTTCGGCTGCTGCTTTCATTGAAAATAACTTTTACATTGATGATGGACTGACTAGCGTCCCATCAGTCACAGAAGCTACAGACCTGATTATCAATGCACAGCAGCTGTGTAAGACTGGAGGTTTACACTTGCACAAATTTAACTCGAACAAGGTGGAGGTGCTCTGTGGTGTTCAGAAAGGGCAGGAACCACTGGACCTCTCAACCTTAGCCTGGATTCAACAGCGGAGGGTCACGTACTTGGCATTCAGTGGTCAATAGAAAGTGACACCTTCAGCTTCAACATTGACAAAAGGGACCAACCCTTAACTCGTCGTGGTATCCTGTCCGCTGTCTCCTCCCTCTACGACCCTCTTGGTCTTGTAGCTCCCTTTATCCTGAGTGGTAAATGTATTCTCCAGGAGCTGTGTTGCATGGGCATAGGTTGGGATGATCAGCTTCCCGATAGCCTACATGCACAGTGGGAGCAATGGAAAAGGAATCTACACAGGCTAAAGGTAATAGCGATACCCAGATGCTACCATCCTCCAGACTTTGGCAACATAGTGAGGGTGGAACTGCATCACTTTTCAGATGCCAGTAACATAGGTTATGGTGCATGTTCCTACCTCAGATACATGAATGGAAAGGATGAAGTACACTGTAGCCTTGTGTTAGCCAAAGCAAGAGTTGCACCAACAAAGCTCATGAGCATCCCAAGGCTGGAGCTTTCGGCTGCAGTAATCTCCGCAAGGCTAAGCGTCATGTTAAAAACAGAGCTCGGCATGCAGATTGACGAGGAATTCTTTTGGACTGATTCCCAAGTTGTATTGGCCTACATCAGCAATGAGGCACGGCGATTCCATGTGTTTGTCGCAAATCGTGTTCAGCTAATCCGAGAAACCACAGATCCTGCTCAGTGGCACTATGTGGATACGGCAGAAAACCCAGCTGACCACGCTTTGAGAGGTCTATGTGCAGGGGACATTCTGTCAACGAACTGGTTATCGGGTCCTAAATTTCTATGGAAACCTGAGATACACCCAACACTACATTTTTCACCAGATTACTTACATCCATGTGCTATTTTTTAGCTAGACATGTGTGTCATGCAAGCTAGCAGCACCCCATGAGAAACGGGCCGAAGTGTTTAAGTGTTTACCGGAGTTTTGCACCCTTGGCAAGCGGACTGAGGTATGTGATGAGAGGTGATCTGTTGTTATATTTTATTTAACTGAACTGTGTAACCCCCTTGATGCTGTTTGAAGTAACCCCTTTTGCTTTATTTAATCTGTGACTGTATATCTCAGAATTACTTGTTTGAACTTGCCTGAGTTAACTTAAGCTCATTGTTGTTATTGCTCATTGTTATAGTTCAAAAGGTACTGTACGGGTATCAATTTTTTCTTATTTTATAGTTTTCATGGTGCTCAACATCCAGAGAATGAGCCGTGTGTGGTGAGGAAATAAATGGCTGCACCCGTTAGAGACTCTCTTAGGGCAGGGATAGCTCAGTAGGTAGAGTGGTTGCCCCATGATCGGAAGGTCGGGGGTTCGATTCCCCTTAACAGCTACCCTGAGGTACCCCTGAGCAAGGTACCGTCCCTACACACTGCTCCCCGGGTGCCCAATGGCTGCCCACTGCTTCACTGAGTGAATGGGTTAAATGCAGAGAGCAATTTCCCCACGGGGCTCAATAAAGTACAATAATGTACATACTTTCTTCTGTCGTTCTTGATGCCAAGGGCTGCTACATTTACATTGCATTTTGATGTACTGTGCTCACGCACACACACACACACACAGATAATTATCATTGCTGTCACTGTTGAGTCGTCGTTAACTGGTTTTCTGTGCATTCATACGAGAAATCGTTACTGGTTTTTCTTGCACCAGTCTGCGGATTACGTGTGTGTGTGTGTGTGTGTGTGTGTGTGTGTGTGTGTGAAGGAAGTGGCATGGAGAAAAGAACCATGTGATTGAGCAACGTATCTTTTAAAGTAAGAGCATGTTATTTCTGTCAGGTGCAGTATACTTATTCCTGCTATGTCGGCTAGATAAGTTTTACTCTTGGTGTTAAGGCTGCGGGGAAATAGCACTGTAATTGCCTGAGTACGTTAAATGCATTTCTGTTTGCTATAAGATCTCTGTGGTATATATTTGTTTAACCCTTGTATGGTGTTCGGGTCTGTGAGACCCGTGTTCAGTTTTTTTCAAAAGAAAAATTAAACAATTAATTATTTTTTCACGTGTAAATGTGTTGTGTCTTTCCACTCACTCCACTTGATTATAACTGATTTATTTATAACATTTTATATAAAAGAAAAACGAGAAGCACATTAATTCATAAATGTGATCTAACAAAGGTAAAGGGAAAAAATTAACCATGTTTGCTGTTCATATGTCTTGTAATTGGGATGAAGTAAACATCTGTTGAGTAATTTAACATAAAATTGTTTGATAGTGTTAATTTGGAAAGCCAAAACTCTAGCGGGTCCACCAGACCCATGAACACTGGCTGAGTAACAAAAATACGAACACCACACAAGGGTTAACACATTCTTGTGATGACTACAAATTCTGAAGTACGAAACAAATATGTCTGTTAAAAGAGATGCCATCGCTTACCAGTTTAACTGAAGGACCAAAAACTTGTCCTGCAGGTTTGATGCATCAGATAACTTAAAAGAAATGCCAGAGCGCAAAACATCCCAGACAGGAGATAATCACTTTTACTTTCAATTTCAAAGCCAGTAAAAGGTGGTTCCTGTTTTAGATTCCAGATTTTAATATTTTCACAACTGTTTTTAACTGTTATGCTGGTTCTTTGGTGAGATGAAGTTGACTGACTTCCTACTTGTAACTGGGAAACCATTGACATTTTGTGATCCCAAATTAAAAATTTAGTTAGCCTTTTTTACTTTCATTTGTGATGATGATGGTGAATATTAATATTATCATGATCATTATTATTATGTCTCATGTTATCATTTATATTTATTAAGTGTTTATCAACTTATGACAAACAATGTTAAATAATATCTAGGACCAAGGTCAAACCGAACCTTTGAGATTTTTTTTAAAGTTCTTCTTCTCTTTTGTTTCATTTGATCGTTAACTCTAGTTTTCTTGCTTTTTAGCTTGTATTTAAATGGTTATTTGAAATTAAATGAACTACATTAATATATAAGCAGACTACCATTGCTAATCCAGCTTAACATGGTGATAATTTAATAACCTAAAGGTAAAAAATGCAAAAGTTTAGTTTTACAGAGAAATTGATTTTGGAAACAGCAGGCAGGGGAAATTATTCAATTTCCAGCAACTCTATGGCCACAAACATAAAGCGTAACCTACCTTATTACATTAACTTGACCAAATGTTTTCTGAACTCTTTGCTCATGTGGCTTGCATAAATAAAAACAGGAAATGTGTACAGTTTAAAGATATTCTGTTCTACTCAGTTAAATGTTATTTATGTATTTACTGTATATAGCACCAAGCACTTGGATATGGAGGACCACAAGAGTCACACGCATCAAAATACAGAATTGTGTGCTTAAATAATGAATTGAAAGATAAAATACGCAATTTAAATTCATTTATTTATTCAAACATTATTAAAGTAAATTATTATCTGATAATTTAATTTAAATAAAAGCACTACTTAAAAATCAATATTTCAAAATGAATTATTAATCCATTAATAAATAATCAAAAATGAATTTCACAAAAAATAATGAAAGTGTCAATAAAAATTTCACAAACATTTTTGAATTCCAAACTAAAAAACTGATTCTATAAATCTTTTTTAAAACACAAAAAAAGAGAAATAAGTAAGTACATTCAAAAATCAAAGATTTATTTTTGACTTTGTTAGGAATAAAATGATTAAAGAAAGCTGTTTTTTAAATGATTTTTTTGCATACACATTGCTATGTGCTCATGAAAGAGTTGGCACTCCATGCAATAGGGGTCAAAAACTTTGATTTTGCACTACGACTGAATTGAATTATCGTGATTGACATGTAGAAGTGCAGAAGGTTTTGTAAACATGCTAACATATCATAACTGGTTAAAATCAGGATGATATTTTCTGGGCCAAGGGAGTCCAAACAGAATGTCCCGAACTTGGAAAATAAGTAGAAAATAGCAGGCTTAGAATTGCTAGATAATATTAATAATCAGGTGAGGGAGGTGTTTTATCCTGGAGGAGACGATCTGGGAGACGCCAGGACCGTCACATCACTTCTCAGAAGAAAGATAGAAAGTCATAACAACACTTGTTTTTGTCGGAGTATGTATCACCCACTCTGAGAAGCATCCTTTTTGCGAAGCAGATTGCTGATTTCACATCGCGGTCCAGCGCTTTAACTTGTACTTTCAACTGCTGAAGCAAATTAAATCTTTTAAACAACAGACGTTCTGTACTTCCTTAAGAAAAAAATTCCACTCCTTACATGAAAATCCATTTCCTTTTCCTGTTAGCTCAGGGATTAGCTATTATATGAACAAATTATTCGTTTTTTGGATTACCTGGGATAGCTAACGCATTAATTATTGGATTAGCTATCTCATTTCCAAAATCCCCAAAGCAATGCAAATTATCCATGCCGTGCAATTTAAGGATTGGTTGGGCAGACAAAGGCTGGCTGCCTGGATTTTCATATATTGCTGTTTTTGCTCATAGCTTTGCACTGCTAAGAAGTGTGTGTGCTTGCCCAAAGGCCATTTTTACACTCTGCTCGACATGGATATTGTGAAGAGAAAATTATTAGAAGGCAAAGAAACTCAAACTCAAGATATCTTTTTCATGCATACATGGACGA